AGAAAAACCAGCCTCCAGCCACAGCCGGGTCCCCCCACCATCCCCAGCCCTCTGCCAGGGCAACGCTTGCACAGGAGACCCCATTTCCAGCCATCACTCCAAGCTATCGCCATCACCACTGCAGATAATCAGCTCTAAGCGCTCCAAAGTGTTGGCTCCAGCCTTGCTGTTAAGCTCAAATAATAACAATTTCTAAATCTAATTTGTTTTTCCTTCTGCCCAGCAAGAGCCTCGTACCCTGCTGGGAGAGGAAAGTAGTTTTGTTATCAGCTCACATTATCTCCTCGACCTGAAGAGCCTGCTGCGCGGAGACGTCGTCGAAATGCGGCTGCTCTCAACTCCTCGTCTGTGGCACAACCCGCTGCTTCGAACCGGCGGAGTTTTACGGCGTCAGGAGCAGGGATTCGGCCCTCCAGCCCCATCTCTGCTGGGTGCGAGGACGCAGCCTCGTCCAGCGCTGCAGCACACCAAGCTTGTTCAGACACGGTGCTTCCCTTCCCGCCTGGCAGCACCCAGACCACGTTTCCTGATCATACAGGGTGCGGGGAGTCATCTCTGCTCCCCAGCATGAAAATCCTGTTTATTCTGACTCAGAGCAGCTCGCCTTCTGCCCTGGTCCTATGGCAGGGGCTTGAGCGTGGTCTAAGGAGTAAGCTCAAACCTTCCCTATCCACAGCAGGTTTTGCAACATTATCTGTGGGTTGTTTTGGGGTTTTTTTTTTTGGTTTTTTTTGGGTTTTTTGGTTTTTTTGGGTTTTTTTTTTTTTTTTACACTCACTAGGATTATTCAACCCATTCTAGTCAGGACACACAACCGGAGGAGCTGGGGACACAACACATAGGGTTAGGGGACACGCTTCTACCGAAGCCTTACAGTGCCAAGAGCCATCTGAAGCATGCAGACACCCTCCACGCTGGCAGGGAAATCAGCTCCCCGAGAGCGGGAATTCCCTGGCGGACGGGGCTGGACTGACCTCCTAACCTCATTGCAGGAGCGGCACAGAAAGCTGGGGTTTTCTAGATCGTTTCATCCTGGGAGGCACAAATGCAAAGGCCTGGAAGGATGCGTCCCGTGAGCTTTTCTTCTCCTGGACTGGTATCCAGGCCCAGATTCATCTGCAGCTTGGGTGAAAGCTAGACCCAGCTGGGATACCTTGACACATCTCCCAAGGACACATGGCCAAGGTCTGACACTTCAGCTGTCAATTGACACCCAATTTACCCACATACTTACACCTACATTCCATCTTAGAGGGACAAAACAGAGGGGCTGCTTGCAGACATGGGTACAGTCACGGGTTTAGAAACTGCAGCAGCACCTACAAATATTCTTGCAAAAAAACAAGGCTCCCAAGCCTGATAAAACACGCATTTAAAAATTCATTTTACACAGGTCCGTTGACACCGCGGTCCCGTGCCAAGACTCAGCTCTCCTACAGAGCAACCCCAGGGAGAGTCTTACCTTGCAGCTACAGACAGGGACATCACACGGCTTTGCAGGGGGATCTTGCAGGGGATTTAGGAGATGCAGTGGCCTCTGTCAGCAGTGCAGGCTTCACCTCAGAACTGCCTCTGGTAAAGCGAGGTGGGAGGCACACGCAACAGAGGGCCCCCGAACACCTCCCATTCTTCAAGAAAAGAGACGGAACGAACAGTGCCATGTTTCAGCCCTTTTAAAATTACTCGAAAGAACAAAACAGGAATAGCCAAGGTAGACCAGGGTGAGACTGTGTTTGATTGGGATTATCTAGATGCAGGCTCATCCAGGAGCACTGCCGTGGGCTGCCGCTTCCTCCGCAGCACCGTGAAGGAACCGCCGAGCAAGGAGCTTTGCTTTGAAGCTTTACCGTGCCAGTGAGCATCTGCTCCGTTGGACTGTACGCTGAAACACAGACGCCTGAAGCACCGAAAGGGCAAACCCACTCAACACAGAGCCCTGGGCAAGCGATTCAACAGGCTGGGGTTTAGTCCACTTCTTCAGCCTATTTCAGGTCTGGTGAACAACAATCATAACAAAATTGCTCATTAGGTGTGACAGGTTACTTGCGGCGCAACCTGTTTATGAAGTGCTAATGAAAGGCTTGCACCTTACCTGGGCTTCAGCTCTGGAAGGGCAGGGGATCGTAATTTTGCATCTCTGCAGATCTGCACTTAGCCCACCCCACTTGGCCCACAATTATTGTCCAAAATAATAACTTCTACAAGAACCGAGAGAGGCATTACTCAGTTTTATTGCTCCAGAAGAGTACTTTGAAGTGCAACTGGAAACAAACTTACAACAAGCCAGTCATCCCAGAAATCCCCTTGAAGAGTTTATATACCCCAAAACCAACTACCGCAAACAAAATTAAAAAGCCATCAAGTTAGGAGTACTTTTATCATGACCATATAAAATACTAAAAGTAAAGCAAAGTAGAATTATAAACCCTATTCCTTATCTCATTAACTTAAAATAATTAAACGTTCCAAAAATTCCTTTACCATGTTTAGTGACTTCGAAAGCTGTGGCAACACAGCAAAGATAAAGTATCAAACTTGTGTATTTCTTGACTGTGATCTACTACTACAGAAAGAAAGAAGTGCCCTGGGACTTTTTAGCATATATTAGATGATGTTCATTGCAGAATTTTAGGGGGTGGGGGGAAGGAATGCTCTGTTATCACCAAATAAGAGCTCTTTAGAGCCTGTATCAAGTGAAGTTTGGGTCTCTGTGTAGCCTCATTCCAAACTGATACAAGGTGTAAGAGATGAGAAGCCACACCCTGCAACTCTGCAAGCCCCTCCTGACGAACCAGTGCGATTCCGAACTGCAGCCAGCCCTTCCTCTGTCAGAGCCTCTCCAGACTCTGAGAGTCTGGCACCTAGAGGTCACCGCCTCTGAAACATTTGTTTCAGCAGAAACACGTGGTGAAGTTTTCAAATCAGATCAGGGTCCAGAAAGTAGCCACAAGCTTCATTTTTATTGTTTTCCAAGCAATGGTCATCTTTGCAAGGGAAGGATGTTGCAGCTGAAAAAGAAGAGGGTAGAAGGAAACACTAAACTCTCAGTTCTCAAACAAGCATAGCAGATCTGACAAGGCATGCATCAGACCCACCACAACCCTCCTCCACTGGTTTCCTCCGCCAGACAATGTAGCCACTGAGACCTTCCTCCCTGTCCTCGTGTTTGATGCAACTCGCCTCTCCACATCACTGTGCAAAACTGCCAACCTCCAGCTCTCAGCTGGTACCCACCAGCAAAGCCCGTCAGAGCGGGCAGCCATACACCCCAAGAGCAAAGCCCAGAGCTGGCCCGGCTGCAGGAAAACTGCTCTGAGCTGGGTGAAAGCCTCACCCATTCCATTAACTGAAACAGTGGCTTACCCCAGGAGGCCCTTCCCGGCCCAGCGCTTCGGAGTCAGCCCCACGTGCACTTGTTTCCCGCTGCGGATCACAGTCACACTCAGGGGTCTCTGAAAGGGAGCGGGGGGGGGGGGGGGGGGGGGGAAAGAGAGGCAGGGTAAAGCTGAGCAAAGGAATGGGAGGGGAAAAGACAGAAACTTTCCATCACCAAGTCAACTCTTTCTTTTGCTGAAGCACCAGCAGAACGTTAGGCCCAGGGGAGCCGGTCTTCAGCAGTGCCCATTCCCATCCCTGGGGCTAGATCTGAAAGGAGGGAGCATTTGGTGGGGAGACATCTCCAGGCGATCTCTCACTTCCACCATAAAGTGCTTGATGGCTGTGGCAGCTTCTCTGGCCACTCCACAAGAGTGGCACAGCAACGCAGCCTGCTGCTGCAGGGTCTCCCCAGGGGAGAACAGACAATATGATGCTCACAGCAAAGAGCGCACACCTCTCAGCTCTCTTCTACCCAGCAGCAATTAGCTCCATGCTGTGAGAGAACAAGGCTGCGACAGCACAGACTGAATCTGACACTGGTTCTGACAGGGAAGTGATGATCCCGGGGATCTAAGTTCCATAGAAAAAGCTGCAGGTAACAGAGACAGGCAAGAGGATGCAGTTACAGCAGAAACGAGCTCACCCCTTCACTGTGCTGCACCACTGTGGCGATGTTCTGCAGGTTCTGGAAGTTGTTTGCGTTAACAGAACCAAACTCCACGATCTCATCATCGACCTGAAGCCCCTGGAACGGAGCGAAGGGAGCTGAGCATCTGCCCTCTCCAAAGCCAGGCAGTGTCACAGGAGCATCACCACGTGGGGAGAGGTGTGCTACGACACTACTCGTCTCACCATCCATGCAACCGAACCACATTACACCCTCCCCGTGTCCTTAGAAAGGAGCATTCCTCTGTCCTGTTTTATGGGAAGAGAAATACTGAGGCCAGAACGGTCAGGGAGGCCTGGTACGAGCTGTGTAGTGCAACGAGACAGCTGAGAAGAGAGTACTCATGTCACTCCTGTACAGTGACTGGTCTAGCCACAGCACATCCCAGCGTGACCCAAAAAAAAAAAATGGGCAGGGGGGAAGGACCCTAATCAAACCGTCACCTCATTCCCACTAATTAACAGGAGAGAGAGAAAGCTACCCGCTACATTTGCTCTCTGCAGCCTTCCCCACGGGCTGCCAGTGCCCACCAACGTACCGAGATACTCGCAGGAGATCCTGGAGTCACCGCGTTCACCTTGGCAAAAGCCTGCGGCAGGCTCTGGCCCATTGCCTCAGCCAACGCCTCCGCCTCATCCTTGGCGTGCTTCTCCTTCTCCCGGGCGTGCAGCTGGTGAAGAGCTTCCTCCACCTGCTTCATCAGGGCCTTGTGGTCGTTCTGCAAACCTGCGGGTGACACCACGAGCACACGGGGAGCGGGAGACAGTTACACCACCGGGTTCTTTCGCAGCACTCGCTCTCCTCTGCGACCGCATAGGAAATCCCATTCCCGATGCCTTGGACTTGAGCTTCTGCCATGTATCTGCCAGGCTCTGCTGACGCCGCCCAGCAGATGTTTATCAGCAGACGTCAGACCCAGAGCAAACCACCACACAGATTTCAGCAAACAGGCAGGGAAGCGGGGCTCGGACACCCACGATCACCCCGAAATCACCGAGCACCCAAAGTCCGTTTCCCACCGAGCCGCGCAACGGCCCCCCCCAAA